GTGAAGATATGTCGTCAAATAAAAAAGTTTTCCATATAAGGACTTGATTTTTATCGATCAGTTTATATGACAGCTATATGCTATAGTGATCCGATATAAGCGTTTCCGTAAAAATGAGCAGCTTCTTTGGAAGAAAAAGACGTGTGCAAAATTTTAGATCGATGTCTCAAAAACTGAGTGACTAGTTCATATATATACAAACAGACAGGCGAACATAGCTAAATCGACTCAGCGCCTCACGCTGATCATTTACATATACATTTTATAGAGGCTCTGCCGTTTTCTTCTGGATGTTACAATCTTCGTGGCAAATTTAATATACTCTATATACCTTAGGCCAACAAATTTTCACTTCCTCCACCTAACTCCCGAATTAAAGACTTTTTGTGATTGGTATATATTAACCATCCACTACTCTAAGCTAGGTACACTCATCAAAATAATTCAGAGCTTACCCCACAAATCTCAAAAATAACTCCGGATTCGTCTGGATGAATCGCATCAATCATCAAGAGTTCGGATGATGTAATTAAGATTTCCACTAAAAAGTTTAGAAATCCAGAATATGGCATTGCAAAATCACGAAATTTCGTGATAAAAAAATTATTTCGGGATTAAAAATTCGACGGTGTTTAAATATGATTTCCACTAAACAGTTTAAAAATCCAGAGTATATAATTTCAAAATGCCGAAAGTTTCGGGATTAAACAATTATTTATTATGAATTTCACTACAAAGTTTAAAAATACGGTGCATGAAATTTTAAAATCAGGAAATTTCGGGATTCAAATATTATTTCGGAATTAAAAATTCGACAATGTTTTAAATAGGTTTTCCATTAAAAAGTGTAAAAAAGCAGATTAAGTTATTTCAAAATCCCGAATTTTTCGGGATTCATAAATTATTGTGCTATTAAAAACTAAGCGCAGGGAATAAACGCATTTATGAACATATTTCTAGACGTCATTTTAAGAAAAAGACCGCTCTTATTTTCCAGAAAAACAAGTATGTTGCAAGCACACACACATATATACATACATAAATATGTGAATACAGATACAGAGCGCATTTGTATGCATGTGCCAAGAGTTTATTGAATGCACTCAGACCGGTTTAACGGAAATAATTAATAACATATTTAAAAAAATGTAAACAAACGCAATGTGTATGTATGGGTGTATACATACGTAAATGCAAATATTTACATAATTATATGGAAGCTAAATTTATTATATATTTACAAAAATAAAAACTATTATCACTTATAAGCGAGATGAACTATGGAGCGCTTATCATAAAAGCATTTATTAGACTTTTATACTCGTACTCGTATGTGCGTCGCAAGCCATTGTCTATTTAAGTGTCTTTCGACACGCAGCTATGCAGCGCTTCGTAGATATTTGCCTATTTAGTTTAGATTAAGCCGTCGCAATGAGTGCAACAAAGAACGGAATTGATATCAACGCGCAAAGCACTACAACAAGCGCCGCAGTTACGCCCACCAAGCGCCCGCCATACGGTTACGGCGAATTGGACGTACAGCAGCGCGGTCCAATTTATATCATCACATTCAAACGCAGCGCAGTGTGTAACGCGCTCACGCGCCGCGGCTACTACGCATTGATACGCGCGCTCGAAGATGCCACGTACAATGAAAGCATTACCACTGTCGTTATAACAGGCGCCGCTGGCTATTTTTCAGCTGGCAATGACCTAACACAACTGCGCCAATATGCCGATCCACAAACCTTCTTGCGCTCCTCCGAGTATGTGCTGCGCTTGCTGGTCAAGGCATTCATCTACTGCCCGAAAGTATTGGTGGCGCTCGTCGACGGTGCATGCATTGGCATTGGTTTCGTATTCGCCGCACTTTGTGATGTCGTCTACTGCACGGAACGCGCCTACTTTCAGGCACCTTTCACACAACTCGGCATCTGTCCGGAGGGTTGCCTAACCTACTTGTTGCCGCAATTGTTGGGGCGCGTTAAGGCTGCGGAGCTGTTGTTGTTCGGTACGCGTTTGAGCGCGGAAGAGGCGTTGCGTTATAATTTTGTAGCGCGCTTAATACAAACAACGGATATAGAGCTGCAATTTTGGCCGCAACTGGCGGAGTACGCGCGTTTGCCGTTAGAGTCGCTGCGCGCCACAAAGCGTCTGTTGAGTGAGCGCAAGCAATTGTTGGACGCATTGAAGGCGGAATGTGGAGAATTGAAACGCTTGCGTATGGGTGAGACATATCAACGTACGATTGAGGCATTCGTAAACCGTAAGGGGCGGGAAAGAGGCTTAATTAATAAAAATAAATTGTGAAGAAATATTAAAGCGAAAGTGTGTTTTATTTATGAAATAAGCGTGTATTAAGTGAAAGTTTCGTAGTAAAGGTAGTGAATGGGCTGAGCTCAGTTAAAGCTAGATCGAGTACCAGTTTTTGTCGAGCGACCCTTCACGTTCTGGAACTTCAATTAAGGCCCCTAGTTAGGTAAAATTTTTATATTTTTTATTAACTGTGAGGCAAGAAAGAAAGAAATTAATAAAGAAGTTGGTAAAGTCATATCTGAAAGAAATTGACTGAAAAACAGAGTTCAGCCAGTTTAAGAACTCTAAGCGAACTAGTCAGCGGCTCTACAAATTATTAAGCATATTTTGAAGAAATAAATACCTGAAACGGTATAAATAAAATAATGCAAATCGTCGAATCCGACTGTTCTCTTCGATTGTCCACAAACTCAGCACGGCATAAAACACGGCTGGATGCAATTTAAATAAGACTAGCTATAACAAGAAGCTCGATGTATAGGCGCCACACGAGGTAGCGCAAAAAACATTATGAACCGAAATCTATCATCTAGCAATCTCAGCTGAAACGCAACAAAATCGATCCATTTGCGAAGCGGTTGGTTACTGGTGCTAAAAAGTAGATCACTTACAACAACGTCAAGCAAAAACGGTCGTTGTCGAATCATGGTGAACCCGCGCAAACGGTAACAAAGTCAGGATGGACTGTCAGAAAGTATTTGTTGCGTGATGGGATTGGCTGGGAATCCTCTACTATGAGTTAACTCTTAATTCGTGCCTTCAATGTCAACAATTGGACCGTCTGCAGTGAGCAATCGCCCCGAAAATAAAAAAAAAGTAGCCAGCTTTGGCCAATAGGAGAGAAGTTCTGTTCCAGCAGGACAGCGACAGACCACACACCGCAATATTGGCTCACTAGCAGCGCTAAGAGCTTAGTGGGAATGTTTGTATGCCTCCATGTTATAGTTTGTACCTGGCATCTAGTGATTACTAACCATTGCTGTCTATGGCGAAAGTTTTTGCTGCTGTTGAAAAGTTCGCCTTAAGTTAAGCTTAGGAAAATCTGGGACAGTCGATTGTTTGCCAATCGTATAATTTTAACTATGCTAAATAAAACCTACAATTTAATGAAAAAATAATGGATTTCTCTTTACTATACACATATAGAAATTATATATTGATAACATTTATATATATAAATATTGACATAAGTAGAAGCTTTTGAACTTACCTGGCTGCAGTGAGCACTCAAGTCAAGCGTAGTCAGTTCAATGCTTCGTTATCAGCTGCAAAATAAGAAACGGTTTATTTTGAGATTATTTTGTAAAGTAATATATATGCAAGAATTAATATATATTATACAGCCGGTTTATGCATTTATAAAAAAACGTATAAAAAACGCGCAAGATATATTTTTTTATAATTAAAACGCAGACGTCTGAATGTGAGTTAAAAAGGAGGATGAAGGCGAGCGAGTTAATTCAGATAAATAATTTTTATTCAATTATTGTTTTTGTTTTTGACAAAACAACAAGCGATTTTTGTTTCAGAAAGTGAATGCTAATAAAAAAAATATTAAATAAAAAATATAAATATGTTTAAATTTCATAAAAGCGACAAAAACCCTGAAATGAGAAAAATTTTAACTAGTTCAAAACAAGAAAAATACGCTTCACCGAGGCATTTCTTATGGCATTAAAGGGTATAAACAGATTTGTATCTCGGTTTTGATGGATCAGTTAGTATTTCTAGAAGAAAACTGCGAAATAAAAAAGGTTTCTATACAAGGACTTGATTTTGGGCGTTCAGTTTGTATGGCATATGGTATACGCTCTAGCGGTCCGACATCGGCGTTACCGAAAAATGAGCAGCTACTTAAGAGGAAAAGGATGTGTGCAAAATTTCAAATCAATATCTTAAAACCTGAGTGACCAGTTCGCGTATAAACAGACGGACGAACACACGTCGACTCAGCTCGTCAAGCTGATCATTATTATTATACTTTATATACTGTTCAGGGTATAGAAACACATAAAGGTGGTGCGCGATGTACGCCAAACACGCTAGATGTCGCTGAGCGCCAATGAACTGGAGAGTCGGTCGCCAGTTTGAATATAAGTATGTCTCTAAATACTCACGAAATCGCTATAATGAAGCAACGCAATCACTTTTAAACGAAGTAAAACACATTAACCTCAAGATGTCTTTTAAAGTTCCAAATGTTTTAAGCTTGATAGTAATTTATTTTCTGCTTTAGATATTTATAAACTGGAAAAAAAAATTTGAAAAACGACCGCATGCTGGACAATCGAAGACAGCTCATCCCCTTCACAAGTGTCAGTCTTTTTTCTCACTTTCTATACTTAAAAGTGATGACTGTTTGATAAATCCAATATTTCCACTACAGTATTAAAGGAATTTTCTGTTAAAAGCGACACGCAGATGCGCAACTCGATCCCTAGATACATCACATGACCTACTCATATCACCGAACAGCATTTGATAATCATGTGCTACTTTACTAACTTAATTTTAAACAAGTCTCCGTTCCTGCCGATTTATATAATAAAAATTATGCAAAGCAGTCAGCTGTTAATAGTTTAGTCTGTCTTAAGTATACGGAACAGACCCAGTTTGGTAAACAACTAAGCACTCACATCTCAGCAGTATAAATTAAAACCAATTAAGCGACGTAAGGAAGAATAAAGTGTATCCAGCATTCCACGCTTCCACGTACAACTTCTTCTGTAAGACTTACATCATTCTAGACCATCAGCTGTTCGCGCCTTCAAATACATTTTCTTCATACGCGTCATTTCAAAAGTCTCACACTCTTAACCTCCTCTTTCTTAACAATCGCTTTGAAATACTTTTCATATCATACGACTTGCCGCATACGCTTCCGGTCAAGTTCAAGAACCCAAAATCGAAACCTGCTCCAGTTTGGCGTAAATTATAGCTCGTGCGCACAATATGCGATAATAGCGCATGAATAACATTACAAGTGAATGCATTTCGACTCGTTTTCTTTTCATGTACGCTTTCGTATTTTTATTTTGCGCTTAATTTGCAAGCGCTACCACCTGTGCAGCTGCGCGCGCTGCTTACACAATCGCTGTGGCGAGCAGCGCTTAAAACTTAGCGTAAACAAAGGCAACAGTGGCTGAAAAAGTGATTTAAAGTGGCGCAAATGCGAGCGGCCACTTTAGTATTGCGGCGTTAAGCGCGCGTTGTGCAACGGTACTTTCACACGAAACATTTTCACGCGTCTAAAAAAAACAAAAACAAAAAAATGGAACGTTGGGTAGACAAGGTCGCTGTGGTGACAGGCGCTAGCTCAGGCATTGGCTGGGCCATCGCGCAGGACCTGCTTAAATCCGGTATGATTGTGATTGGCTTGGCGCGCCGCCTGCAGCAAATGGAGGAACTCAAGGAGGAGCTAGATGCCAGCATACGCGAGCGCTTTTATCCGCGCTCCTGCGATATGACTGTGCTGCCGTCGGTAAAGAGCAACTTTCACTGGATCGAACAGCGTTTCCATCGACTGCATGTGCTCGTCAACAATGCAGGCATGGTGGAGATGACCAAAGTGCTGGAGGAGGGCAACGAGGCCATACTGCAGCGTGTGATTGATGTGAATCTCATGGGCACGGTGAATTGCACCAAGCAGGCGTATAGACTGATGCAGACCACCATGGCGCAGGGCGAGGCGTGTCATATAATAACGGTGAATAGTCTGTTGGGGCATACCGTGCCGCAACATATACCCGAATGTGGACTGAATTTGTATCCGGTGGCGAAGCATGCGCTGTACACTCTTGACGAGGTTTTGCGGCGTGAACTCTTTCCGCACAAGCTGATGCGTTTGTCGGTGAGCAGTTTGTTCTTTTTAATTTTTATAAAAACGATTTTTTAATATATTATATGTATAATATATTGTACTATAACAACTTCTTATGTTTCGCAGACCATTAGTCCCGGCCTGACGCGTACCGACTTTGGCGGCGCGCCTACTGAGGATGAGAAGAAGAAATGGGAGGAAATGATAGAACCAGATGAAATTTTGCTGCCTGAGGACGTGGCGCGTGGTGTGAATTTCATACTCGCCTCACCGCCCCACGTGACTATAGCGAATTTGCTGATGGTGCCGGCGCGGGAGAAATATTGAGCGGCAACATTTCTTTTAGTCTGAATATTTTCTAGGTTAAATAATTCATAAAAAAAAATTAAATAAAATATCTTTTTGAAAATATAAAATTAAATTAAAATGTTTTATTTAATAAAACAATAAAAAAAAGATAAAGTTATAAAAAAATTACAAAAAATATATAAAAATAATATGCAGAACAAATATAGCTAAAATATGCAGAATGAAAATATTCTAAAAAAACTTAAAAAAATAGTATTCAGAAAATAAAATATGCAGAAAAAAATCAAAACAAAAAAAAATATTTATATAAAAAAAATTTTATAAATTTATAAAAATTTTAAAAAATTAAAAAAAAATATGTAGAATGAAAATATAATGAAAAAATCAAAAAAAAAAATATTTAGAAAAAAAAAATCAGAAAATTCAAAACATATGTACATATATATTCAGAAAAAATTATAATTTATAGAAAAATAAAAAAAAAAATTCAAAAAAATATAAAATGTTTAAAAAAAAGTATAAAAAAGTATACATATTATAAAAATTAAAAAAAAAAATATACAGATCATAAAAATTACAAAAAAAAACAAATTTAAAAAAAATGTATAACATTATATTATGAAAATAAATCTTACAAAATTTTAAAAATTAGAGGGACATCTGTAGGCTGCAAATTTTTAAAAAGTAGGCGTGGCCACGTCCCTAAAATTTTTAATGTATATACATACATTTTTATATAAAAAATAACCAAAACTACATTATCCAATCTTGTTGAAGACGAATCTTCTCAGATAGTGTAAAAATTGGTGAAATCGAATAATAACCTCGCCAACTCCTCTTATAACGGTTATGTTGAAAACTACTAAAAGAACGATAACTCACTAAATAAATACGTCAGTCAAGATGGTGTCTAAATTATAACCCATTTAACTAATATAGACATTTTCGAACTGTCGCCCGACTTTGTACTTTCTATATCGTTCAATTTGTGAGGTCTAGTATTGAAATTCGAAGAGAATATTTTTATGGTAACAGCAAACTCTGGTGCCAAAAATGAATAAAATCGGGTCAAGCCTTCCCGTATTCCCCATATACCTAATATAAAGGTTTTCGCACTTTCGGTTTTGCCAACACCTGAAAGTATTTCCTTGGCTTTGATCTTTGCAAATTGTGAGAGTATAAAATTTTCGACTACACACGAAATTATCCCGCCCTTACTTGCTTTATCTAACTTATTACCTTTACTTTGTTATGAATGCATAAAGGCAAATTGTTTAATCAAGCTAATAAATTACCTTAGGCCGCCACCTTATAGATAATTATCATAAATACATATGTATATTATGAATATCTCACTTATATATGTACATACTTGTATATCTTAATATGTAACAAAGCGCTATACTTTATCATGTGAGAAACTGAAAATTCGTAACTACAAATTGCGATATAAACTATTCTATCTTTTAATTGTGCAATTTTATTAAAACCGGTTGAGTAGTTTAGGAGTTTACCCCGGAGAAAACGGGATACATGATTTTTATAAAAAAAATGTTGCATCAAAGTTTTACATTGCAAAAAAATAAGAAAATTAAAATTTAAAAATATTAAACTTTAAATTATAATAAAAAAATAACTAAATTTTTTATTTAAAATAAATTAATTATCTTTTTAAATAAAACTCCAACAAAAATAAATAAAACGGAAAATAATAATAAAAACAAATATTTATCAACAAAAATAACTTTCAAATGTCAAAACACATATTAGAAAGTCCAAAATACATTAAAAAGTCAAATAATATATAAAAAGTAAAAAAAAATAAGAATTATAAAATATAAAAATATAAATTAAATTAAAATAGTCAAAAACAAATAATAGTAAAAGCTCTAGCTAAAGCTAGAAAAAAAATCAAACAAATGTTTAGAAAAAAGAAATCTGAATAAAATATAAAAAATATTCAGGAAAAATACAATTCAAAATATTTTATGGAAAAATTTATTCATAAAATATATTAATCAAAAGCATAAAAAATATAAACCAAAAATATTTAGAATATAAAAAAAAATTTATAAAAAAATATTCTGAATAAAAAAAAAATATACAGAAAACTATTTAAAAAAATTAAAAAATTTCAGAAAACAAAATATATTGAGAAAAAAATATATATAAAAATATTATATTAAGCAAGCCCATAAAAACATAAACTAATAATAATTTAAAAATATATGAAAAAATATTCGGAACAAATTTTAAAAATATATAATAAAAAAAATACCATATGCATAAAAAATAAGAAAAAAACCATAAAAAATTAAAAAAAACCATACAAAATAAAAAAAAACCACATAAAATAAAAAAAAATTAAAAAAAAACATACAAAATAAAAAAAACCACAAAAAATAAAAAAAATATAAAAAATAATAAAATAATTTAAAAAAAAACCATAAAAAATAATTTTAAAAAATTTAAAAAAATGTATAGCACGAAATAAAAAAAAATATTTTGCAAAAAATATAAAAAACAAAATTTTTAATAAAAAAGAATATTTTGCAATAAATAAAAAAAAGGATATTTCGCAAAAAATATCAAAAAAATAATATTTTGAATATATAAAAAAAAAAAATTTTTTGCAAATATTATATATAAAAAAATATTTTGCAAAAATTTATAACAAATATTTTGCAAAAAAATAAAAAAGAATATTTTGCAAAAATTATAAAAAATTATTATCAATAAAAAAAAGTACTATACAAAAATATTCTGAAAACTAATCAAAGAAAAACAAAAAAATTTAAAATAAATTAAAAAAGTTAAATAATAAAATAAAAAAAAATAAAATTCAAAAAAATTAATAAAAAGAAAATATTATAAAGAGATAATGTTTAAAACAAAAAAAAAGTAAATAAACAAAAAAACAAAATTAAAAAAAATCATTCCAATAAATGTACATATATGGAAGTCAAAAAAAAAATTTTGAAACCAAAAAAAACTCAAAAAAAAAGTTAAAAATAATGTAATAAAAATAAAAATGTCAAATGGTAATGTAAAAAAAATATCAGGAAAAGTATAAAAAAAATCATGAAAATAAAAAGTCAAAACAAAGATCTAAAAACTAAACTTCATAGTCACAAAAAAAAAAAATTAAAGAAGTCAAAAATATTAATTAAAAAGTCAAACAAATTAATATAAAAAAAGTAAAATTATAATGTAAAAAAAAGAAAAAACACAAAAGTAAAAAATTAATTTAAAAATAAATTAAAAAATTAATTTAAAAATAAATTAAAAAATTAATTTAAAAATAAATTAAAAAATTAATTTAAAAAAAATAAAAATATTTATTAAAGTAAAAAAAAAGAAAATTTTTTAAATTTGAAAAAAAATTTAAAAAAAACAATAAAAAAATTTGAAAAATTAGTCAAAAATTAAGAATAAAATTAATTATTGAAAAAAAAATTAAATAAAATGAAATTTAGAATAAAATGAAATTTAGAATAAAATCAATTATTGAGAACATATAGACGTATGTACATATGTACATATGCTTGTACTCGTATATACAATTATTGTAAATGTTGTTGTTGTTTCAATACTCGTACAATTCTTAGTGAAAATATGATATCGAGATAAAAACACTACAAGCTTAAGAGTTTAAAACTGAAAGTTTTTCAAAAAATAATTCAAAAATATTCTGACATTTTTTAACAAAAGGCATGTTGCACATGCGCATTTACTCTTTTATTTAAATTGACAATGGCTACATATCACTTGAGGGTTTGTTGAAAGCAACAATAGCACAGTGTATGAACTCAAATATTATATAACACAAAATTTCATAGGCGCCTATTACAAAACAATTTTTCATAAAAATCGTTTCGAATAAGCAAAACAAAAACAAAACTTTAGATATACATATATTTTGTTTACTATACTTTTTAAGAAAAACACTACAATTAAGTAAGCATAGCTGCTGCATCATTTGAAGGGCTTCTCAGTCATCAGCAGACCACGCTCCCACAGCGCCGTCACCATCTGCACCTTGCGCTCATCATCTTCCAATGGCAGCTGCGACACACCCACATACTCCGGATATGAGCGTATCAGCACCTCCACACTTGCCGCCTCCTCTGGCTCGATTTCAATGAAATTCGGCTCATATTCACAGTACTCCTTGGAGTTATCCACATAGTAGTAGATACGCACTTTATCCTCCTCCTGCACCAAACGCATGATGTTGGCGCGCAGCAGCCGCACATTGGTGCGCTCATCAATTTCATAGTCACACAAGCACTCGCCATGCTCATTGGTGGTGCTGCGCGAACCGAAAATTGTGCGTGCGCGCTCACCGGCCAACACATGCGGTGGCAGCGCTTCGTGCTGATACTTCTTAGCCAGCTGATCCACAGCGGCGTCCATCATTTCGCCCAGCTCTGCGCTATGCAAACACTGACCCATAAGCTTCGTTACTTTGCGCAACAGATCGGCGCGCTCTTTAGTGTCATTGTCGCTGTAGGCAATGCCAGCATGCTGGAACGTATATAGCGGCAGTCCGCAACGCATATCCAGATTGTTTCCAATGGCGCGCTGCAACACCAATGGCATCATGCGTTCAAAGAGATCAGCGTACGATTGCTTTTGATACACGCTCAAGGTGATGTGCAACGAATGGTAGCCAGGTGCTGTGGTAGCTTGATGTATAGTGCCGCGTGGAAAGTACAGCAGATCGCCGGGTTCAAGCACCTAACAGTGTGGAGTTCTAGTAAAATACGCACGCAAAAAAAACTTTTTATATACAAATACAAACCTCATCGAATATGGGTTGACCGATTTCTTGCTGCGTAAAATTTTTCGATGAGAAACGTGGCAGCTGCTCCGCCTGCGTGCGTGGCTTGTAGAGACGCCAGCGTTTGCGGCCCTCAATTTGCAGCACAAAAGCCTCTATATCGTCGTAATGTGGCGCGAAACCTTGACTGTTGGGCGGCGTGAGGTAGGCATTGGCACCCACAAGACAGTGAAAGTACTCCTGCAAGGTTGTGTTTAGCTTGAAAAGCTCCGGTAGGAAGGTGTGCGGATTGAGTAGGCGTACACTGCAACCTTGCCCATAGTGATCCCACACGACGGGCGGCATGGCACGTCCAACGGGATTGAGCGTTTCACGTACACCTTTGGGGAAGTACAAATTGGTTTGCAATTACTTACAAGTAACTTTTTTTTTTTGGCAACTGTAATTATGTAACTCACCATTTTTATAAGAAGTGATATCAATATTTTTTGTAAATTCGACATGATTATTGATTAACATTTGATCGATAGCCTCAAACGACATTAGTTTTGAGTAGTAGTTAGAGCCTTTGCGCTTGACTAAATAGGCGCCCATTTCCCAATACTTGCTGAAGAATTCCTTAAGGTTTAGTGGACTAAGCAGCCAACCGAACACCTTTTCACCCTCTTGTATGCTATTCATTTTTACGATGTTGTGTGGCGGTGATAAGGGCTCCATTTTTACTGCTTTCGCATCCACGGTCTTTACAGCTACTTTAGCGCTGGCGGCCGCTTCACTTTCGGCTATGGAATGCCTGCGCTTATCTGTTGTCTTTGCCGCTTTGTCAGCAACAGTTTCTACTGAAACTGGAATTGATTTACGCTGATCAATGGGTCTGTCTGCTTGACGCGCCTTCTTTCGCTCAGTGGCTTCACTGGCAGTCTTACTGCTGGTTTCCGCATTACCTTTACGCTTTTGTGGTATGCTGTTTTTAGTAGATGTGGCAATGGGTTGTTTACCAACATCACTTTCACTAGAGTAATCACTGCCACTGACACCAGTTTCCTCCTCCTCGCATTCCTCTTCTTCCTCATCGGTATAACTATTTATGGTGTACTCGTCAGAGAATTCATCCGAATCGCGGCTGTAATCTTCCTCACTACCAGTTTCAGTATCATATTCTTCCTCACCCGCCTCTTCATCATCCCTCTCTAACTGCTTTACCAAATAATCCTCCAATTCTTGCTTCTTTTTCTGTTGTGCTTTCGTTAGCTTCTTTGGCTTGGACGGTGAGTCGCTTAGCAATTGTTCCACCAAGTTGTCAATTTCATTTTCATTAATGCCGTTGGACTCTGCTTTACCGTTAGTAGCAGCATGCTGCGCTTTTTGTTTTTGCTTCGCAGGCGGCTCAGTTTTGCCTGTTGCTTTCTTGGTGTTTGCTTTGTTTTTCGAGGCCTCAACTTTTGGTGCAGTTTTGTTGTTAACAACTTCCTTAGCCTTGGCTGGAGCCACCACTTTTTCTTTAGCCGCAATAATGGGGTTTGCTGCGTTTTGACTTTTTGTTGCTTTCTTTGGTTTATCTTTTTGAAATGATTTATTTTTTGCCGCATTCTTTTTGTTTGCACCGGGTTTGTTGCTAGCAGCAGCTGCTTTCTTGTTATTACCTTTTTTAGACGTATTACCATTTTTTGAAAGTGTAGTACGATATGCCGCAAATGCAGAAATCGGTTCCGACATTTTATCCACACAATTTACTTAAAATAATTTTCAAAAATTAAACAATTTTATTTTAAAAATAGCGTGGAATTATGTTCACAATCAGAATATTAGCAAATTGTTGCACGTGCGTGTACAGTACGCATGAAAATGTCAGAAGACCGGCTAATCAGAAAAGCACAGAAGAGCACATACAGGGTTGCATATCGCATTAATGTTTTAAAACAAGAATTATTCAAATTTGTCAATTTTTAGTTCGGAAGTTTGGAAAGACTTTTATTTAAATAAGAACATAATTTAAACAATTTTCAAGAAATTTACAATTAAAGATTACACTAACATTTTTACACATTTCATAATTAAAATATAATAAGCAAACAAAACTTTAACATATTTTCTCATCACCCCTAGTTAACTGTTCTTTTTTTTACGAATAATCAGATTCATCACTATAACTATTTATTGTATATTCATCTGTAAACTGATCGGAGCGCTTGCTATAATCACACTCGCTATCCGTATCGCTGCAACTATCATCACTACTGGATCCTGTGTCATCAGAGCTATTGGATTCAGAGTCAGAGTCCCCGTCGCTGTCCGACTCCGACCCCTCAGAGCTACCCGTAGCGCTATCATGTTCACTGTCTGTTTCGGTACAATCTTCGCAACCGCAACTGCTTTCCGTTTCGCTGTCAGATTCAGAATCCTCAGTACCTGATGAGTCGGTTGCTGTGTCATCGCTCTCTTCATCGTATTGTTGCAGCTTCTGCACCAAATAAGCTTCCAACTCACGTTTCTTGTGTTGTTGAGCCTTGGTTAGTTTTTTGTTGCCGCTCAGCAGCTCTTCCACTAAGGAATCGACATGCTCCTTCTTGATTTCCTTAGCACTTGGTGCATGCTTGTTGGATTTGGACAACTTTGGTACAGGCATATTCAAATATGTTCTTCTAGGTTTCCTTTCGACACGTATGCAAGTAATGTTACTTTAAAACATTGCGCATATAACGGATTTGTTTTTACACTTTGACAAATTTCTTAATTTCTCTGACAACATGGTTGTATTTTAGGTAACGGGATTTACTTGGACATTTGAAAATGAAAATGTACTTATTGGAGATTCATAGCATCGTAAAGAATATTTTATATAATCAAATATATAAAATTATACCATGCAAAATATGCTAACAGAAGACGAAATGGAAACATCGTAATCGTGTTTCGGCAAATCGGAATAGAAATAGACGTAGGAATCGAGTAAGATATCGTAATCTCAAAAGGCAGGATAATTCAGTGTAACAAAATTATATATATATACATATGTACTTCTTTTTTTTAATATAACATAATGTGCTGTTTGATTTTGATTTAATTAAAGCCCGACGACAACTGAAAATTGTGGTTTTTGCTGATATCGTTGTGGTTGTTGTCACGATTATGTAGACATTGTTTTGGTGGCAAGGCACAAGCCATTGTCATCAAAATTATTTAACGGGATTCCCACGGAACGTACTGTTTTATGAGGACGGTCATAGGGAAAAGGATGTTAGATCAGTTGGTTTCATAGACAATGCAAATAGCTGGTTAGAGTTATGCGCAGGATAAGTTAGAGTTCAATCTGTCCAGAAGGAAGTTGCGCAAGAGTCACTCTCTCGTGTTCAATTTTGATGCCAAAAAAATCGACAACCACTAAGTCGAAACTAAAATCAACAAGCACAAGCGCCAAGAAGACTACCGTCAAAAAGACTACGGCCAAGAAATCGACACCCAAACCCAAGACAACCACAACAAAGGCCAAATCAACAGCTAGTAAAACGAAGAAGTCTACAACAACAAGGAAGTCAACAACTGGTGCAAAGTCGAAAACCGCTGCGCGGAAAACAACAACTACACGCCGACGGAACGACAGTTATTGTGATTGTTCTTATTGTTGTGAAAGTTCAACAGATTCTTGTTGTTGTTACTAATATTGACGAGCGGAACATGGAACTGCTGAGAAAACGACTTTTAATGCTTCTGGTTGAGCCTGCAACCTATATTTATGTTTCAGTTATTTTAGTTATGTCATAAAAAATATCTATGTACAAATATCTTGTATTTGTACTGAAAATGTAACACTTGATGCGAATTTCATAATAATAAATTGCCCTTGGATGCAAAAATATACATATAATATTTTCTGCCAAAGTAAAAATGGTTACAATTAAGAAATAAGACACTTGGTTCTCTGAATGCATGCTATACTGTGCAGAATTGTTGTGGTTATTGTAAAATTTCAAAGCTTATGTAACAGTTTCCAAAAACTAAATCATAAATAATTATAACCTGAATAGGGTTTAAGAATCAAGATAAATTTTTTTTTATTACTTTTTATGCTATACGAAATGCACCTGTGAAGGGTATTACATATTTTTTTGTTTTGAGCGAAACAGAATATGAATCATGGTAACGATGGATAACGATATTGTTGATGGTATTTTCTCCATAGAAATGCGAACTCTCCTTCGCCCTTCCGTGGTACCAGTGGTGTGTTTGTTGAAATAGGAGATTCCGAGCTACCAAGTGGTGTGAGCCTGTTTTGAGCGTTCGAGTAATTAAAGTAGCATACGCCAACTATTAGAAGGCAAAGATAAACTTGAAAAAACTTCATTTTGATAAAGACTACATGAATACCGTCGAATCGTCGTCTTTATATAGCTATAAAGTTGTTAATTTAAAACAAGTAAGGAAGTTCTTAGTTCGAGTGTAACCGAACATTTTATACTCTCGCGACTTGCAAGGATCAAAGCACGGGAAATTACTTCAGGTGTTGGCAAAATTTGATATTGAAGGAAGTATTGATCGGCTTCAACCCATTTTTGACACAAAGACATACTATTATCGATACTTTCATTTATTTATTTTATTATATGAATTTCAATTATATATCTTACACATTGACATATAGACACTGAGGTCTACATATTCAATACCTATTGGCTTGAACAGTTTTGGTTCGATTTAGACAATTTTAGTCACATGGTGACATACTCTAAACGCATTATTTAAGCAAAGTTTTGTTCCGATACAATCATTGTTGGTTGATTTGCATAGTGGAAAGTGAAAGATTCATATGGAATTTAAAATGGTGTTATATCCGAAATTGGCATGGTTGTAATCCGATTTCGCCCATTTTCGTACTATAACATAGAAATATGAGAAGAATGTTATGTACCGAATTTGGTTTAGGAGATATGCACATTAAATCTTTTTAGAGGGCGGGACCACACCCACTTTTTATAAAAATTTTAAACTGCAGAAGCACACTCTAATGTGATCGGGTATACCAAAAAACAGTCTTGCATCTTATTGTGGAGCTCAGTTATGGCATTTTTTTTTGGTTTTTGATTAATGGCGATCATTTATATATATTATATATAACCCTATATCTAACTTGATTAGTTTTAGGTGATACAAACAACCGTTAGGTGAACAAAACTATTATACTCTGTAGCAATAGATTGCGAGAGTATAAAAAGTATATATGTGTATATGTATGTGTAAAATATTCGAGCAAAACTTAATTAACGCAGTCGTCAAAATATGCCATCAGGGAAAAACCATAAAATTGTTTATTGACTTTCAAAAAATGTTTTTGCTGTTTTTGAGCTGATGAAACAGTTGCTTAAAAAAATATTGACGTACAAACTATTTGAAAAGTGTGCAAATACTTTTGAACATACACGAAAGATTTCAATCATAGCGAATTTCTTTGGCAAATATGTGCAAAGCAAATAATTTAAGGAATAAAGAAATTTATTTAAAAAAAAGCAATTTATTTAAAAATGGGTAAGGCTTAATAAAGTAATATTTTATATATTCTCTTTTCATGTAATGAAAAATTATAATAGACTGATGCTCGTAATGATTTGGGTACTACGAATTGGAGGCGAGTTGAAAAACTGGCAGAAATTGGAACGGAAGATTATCTTGACCTTCATCCCAGTGAAGAAGATGGCTTCCCGATGGAATATTTTGACAACTTTGTTTATTAAGTTTTGCTCGCATATTTTACACATATATATGTTCAAAAGTAGTTTGTACGTAAATATTTAATTAAGCAACTGTTTCGTCAGCTCAAAAACAGCAAAACCATTTTTTGAAAGTTAATAAACAATTTTATGGTTTTTCCCTGATGAAATATTTTGACGACTTCGTTAATTAAGTTTTGCTCGAATATTTTACACATACATATACACATATATACTTTTTATACTCTCGCAATCTATTGCTACAGAGTATAATAGTTTTGTTCACCTAACGGTTGTTTGTATCACCTAAAACTAATCGAGTTAGATATAGGGTTATATATATTATATATAAATGATCGCCATTAATCAAAAACAAAAAAAAAATGCCATAACTGAGCTCCACAATAAGATGCAAGACTGTTTTTTGGTATACCCGATCACATAGAGTGTGCTTCTGCAGTTTAAATTTTTTTTTAAAAGTTGGCGTGGTCCAGCCCTTAATAGATTTAATGTGCATATCTCCTACGCCATTTAAGCTATAACAAAATTCACTGAGAACAAATGCTTTCATAACGTCTATTGACAATGTGAAAATGGGTGAAATCGGGTGACAACCCCGCCCTCCCCATATAACGGTATTGTTAAAAACTACTAAAAGCGCGATAAATCAAGCACTAAACACGAAAGAGACATTAAATTTTATCTTTAAGATGGTATGAGATGACTTTATAGGAACCGCGTTCAAAATTAGACAGTGGGCATGGCACGCCCACTTTAGGTGAAGATCCATACTTTGGGATCTGCTTAACTGATTTCAACCAAATTCGGTACATAACATTCTTCTCATTTCTATGTTATAGTATGAAAATGGCGAAATCGGATTACAATCACGCCAATTTCGGATATAACACCATTTTAAATTCCATCTGATTCTTTCATTTTCCACTATGCAAATCAAGCAACAATGATTGTATCGGAATAAAACTTTGCTTGAATAATGCGTTTAGAGTATGCCACCTTGTGACTAAAAATGTCTAAAACGAACCAAAACTGTTCAACCCAATAGGTATTGAATATGTGGACCTCAGTGTCTATATGTCAATGTGTAAGATATATAATTGAAATTCATATAATAAAATAAATAAATGAAAGTATCGATAATAGTATGTCCTTGTGTCAAAATGGGTTGAAGCCGATCAATACTTCCTTCAATATCAAATTTTGCCAACACCTGAAGTAATTTCCCGTGCTTTGATCCTTGCAAGTCGCGAGAGTATAAAATGTTCGGTTACACTCGAACTAAGAACTTCCTTACTTGTTTTAAATTAACAACTTTATAGCTATATAAAGACGACGATTCGACGGTATTCATGTAGTCTTTATCAAAATGAAGTTTTTTCAAGTTTATCTTTGCCTTCTAATAGTTGGCGTATGCTACTTTAATTACTCGAACGCTCAAAACAGGCTCACACCACTTGGTAGCTCGGAATCTCCTATTTCAACAAACACACCACTGGTACCACGGAAGGGCGAAGGAGAGTTCGCATTTCTATGGAGAAAATACCATCAACAATATCGTTATCCATCGTTACCATGATTCATATTCTGTTTCGCTCAAAACAAAAAAATATGTAATACCCTTCACAGGTGCATTTCGTATAGCATAAAAAGTTATAAAAAAAAATGTATCTTGATTCTTAAACCCTATTCAGGTTATAATTATTTGATTTATTTTTTGGAAACTGTTACATAAGCTTTCAAATTTTACAATAACCACATACGTATGTACATACATGCGTAGAATGAGTCAGAAAATAAACATTTTCTGCACAGTATAGCACGCATTCAGAGAACCAAGTGTCTTATTTCGCAATTGTAACCATTTTTACTTTGGCAGAAAATATTGAATGTATATTTTTGCACCCAAGGGCACTTTATTATTATGAAATTCACATCAAGTGTTACATTTTCAGTACAAATACAAAGATATTTTTTATGACATAACTAAAATAACTAAAACATAAATATAGGTTGCAGGCTCATCCATTTTTCGTCTAAACCAGAATCATTAAGAGTCCTTTTCTCAGCAGTTCCATGTTCCGCTCGTCAATATTAGTAACAACCACCGGAACTACAGCTATCTGTAGAGTCAGAAGAATCAGAATAATCACTGTTAGAATCTGTTGAACTTTCACAACAATAAGAACAATCACAATAACTGTCGTTCCGTTGGCGTGTAGTTGTTGTTTTCCGCGCAGCGGTTTTCGACTTTGCACCAGTTGTTGACTTCCTTGTTGTTGTAGACTTCTTCGTTTTACTAGCTGTTGATTTGGCCTTTGTTGTGGTTGTCTTGGGTTTGGGTGTCGATTTCTTGGCCGTAGTCTTTTTGACGGTAGTCTTCTTGGCGCTTGTGCTTGTTGATTTTGGTTTCGACTTAGTGGTTGTCGATTTTTTTGGCTTCGAAATTGTACACGAGCCTCCCGAACATGTGGGTACGGGCATAATAATTTTAGTATTATAATTTTTTTAAAATTTGGTCGATTTACTTAAAATTAAAGTTTACTTCACTGTCGTTGCAACGAAAATGTTTCGTCCAGCGCCAGTAACAACTCTTTGAACTATAAAATTAACGGATTATTTCTAGTTTCAAAGCAATTGGAATTATTGGGTTATTTTAATAGCTTTGAAATGTTTATATGGCAACGTTGCACTCTGTGGGCAAACAGCTGCTCCCACCTCGAGTACAGTACGCATGAAAAGCGCACAGCTGTTTTTGACAATCGGACAACAATTGCACAATTTTTCTTATTATTATAAAATTTTAGTAAATTTTTCATAGAAACAGTGTGAAAATGCGTCTAACCGAGGTCTTATTCAAAAAAGTCAAAAGCAAGTGAGTATTTGCTGGAATTGCTTTAGTTGCAATCTTTCAATTTACAATTTTTATTTACTGCAAACAGACGCATCATGGTGCTGATGGAGAGCGTGGTTAGTGGTCATCAGTTTAATATGTTCCGTGATCGCTTGGCGGATAAATTGGAGTTGTTGCGTTTCGATCCATATAGTGAGTAAATGTGTTTATCTTTTTGTAGTTCTTGATTTTAAATATATAAATATATTTGCAGTACAAAAGGAGAGCATCTACCGCGAACGCAAGAGGATACGCAGCGCTTAAATGTCTGGTTATAGTGTTTTAATGTTTATACAAAGTCATATTAAATAAATGCTGTTGTTTTTAAATACTTTAACCAAAATGTGCAATAATTTGTTTTATAAACAAATATCTGAAATTTGTGAGAAGAATGAGATAAAAGTAGTGAATATTTCAATAAAAGCCTGTATGTACAACATATTTGACTTTTGTGTGGGTGAGCGTACAGTTAAAACTACAATATATGATATAACAATATTTAATATATGCGCTGGTCGCATGCACTTTGCACATTCAAATATATGCTAAAAATATAATATATATTATAATATAATAAAACAATTTTTGGAAGCTCAGTAAAATAAAATAAAATCTACCGCATATAGCAGTGTGTTTAGTGACAGTTAATCCATTACAAATGTGATTTACCGCAGTTGGTAACTTAATTCGTGAAATTTACGCAATTACCCGCAATAAAGTATATTTTTCTCTGCTGAAATATATGTACATATGTAGTACGTATGCGCGCACATGCCATACACCTGTGGCCATAACAACAACAAATATTCACTTTAGTGAAACCCAGGTGCTTACATTGATCAATATACATCCGGTCTGGTCAGTGTATATTGGCCACCAAGCTGACTCAATCAAAGCGTTTTTCAGCCCTGCAGTTCATTAACGAAGCCATTTGAATGCATGCGTAATGGTCAATGCAGCAGGCAAGCTCATATGTTATAAACTGCTGATGGCTAATTGCAAATAAAACGCTAATGTGACGTTACATTGAATGCAGCATGTGTTTGTTATGCGCTCTTTGTACGCTTGTGCGCTTGCTTGCGGGTGTGCTATGGTGGCATTTCAAGGTTGCGGTGAGCGAACAGTGCACTTTCATAGCAGCGCGTGCATTTCCGCGTTGCCCAATGCCCATAAAAGCGCCAATAAATGAAACTGTAAGCACAAATGTCCTTATTAGCACATAAACACACACGCATATACAAACAAATATATGTGCGATTGTAGTTTTCCCACTACCACGTCGCTGCCTTTCACTTTGTTTTGTCATTGCCAATGCTGCGCCTCATTGCGCCTCATTGCATTTAACCATGTTTTCTCGCTGCCACGCTGGCATACCTTCGCCCACACAATGGGTTGCCTTGGCAGTTACTGTTGCGGTCGGCGAATTCTTGTTATCCATGTTTCCTCTTCCTTTTCCTGTTCTTTTGTTCTTTCATTTTTTGGCATTTCGCCGGCGCAGCAGCAAATCCATTGTCTGTGGCGTCAATAAAGCAGCGGAAATGCACTAGGCCCCGCGTGCTTGGCTATAGCAGGTGGTATATATATATTTACTTGTGTGTGAGTAACTGTAACTGTGGGCACATGAAATTGATAGCCGAAACGGCTCAAGCATCAACAGCGGCTGAGTTGGTGTGTAGGGAGAGCGCAAAAGGTAGGAGGGGAGATGTAAAGGCGTAGGCGTTAATGAAATTTTCGACAGGAAATTCTCGCTTGTGTGAATGTAAAGTCGTTGCACATAAATTGTTGCATACATACAGGCGCTGGCTGGAGATGATTGTAGCAAATGTGGAGAATTGAGTGGATAAGTAAATGAATATGGAGCAAATAACAAGATTCAAAAGGAGAAAATACCGTGTAACAATTAACTCTCTTTTCTATAAGCTGACCTTCTCTTTTTACTTGCGTTGGATCTAACAAATTTAAAGATCCAGTTGGAGTTATCTTTTTTTTCAGTTAAATTTCCAGTCCAGTCAAAGCTAAGAGACTGTAAAAGCTCTATACTACTGTCTTAACAGAAAATTACCGCTATTTTTATGAGTGCAAGGGGCGTACTGCCACCACGTTCGGGCTGGGACCGCATGTTTCCACGATAGCCGAGCCTTCATAATCGTCGCGGCTACGGATTTATAAACGTTCAAGGACTTGGGAATGTTTTATGCCGCTACAACAACAACAAAAACTTCGGTTCAAACGCATTTTCCTCTTAAGATAAAGAATAACCGTTACTTATAAACATACGAGTCTTTTTCTGACAAGAAAATACTTTCTTTTAAACTCAGGAGATAGTCCGAAGTGCTTTAATGTTTGAAGGATTGCGTATAAAGCTGTATGTTGAAAACATCTCTGAAGTAATTTGGCAAACAATCCTTTACATGGAGTTCAGCTTGGAGTAATATGCATGAAGATGCCTGTGGTACCATCCCTATCTTATAGCTTCTATCTATACAGGCGTGTGGATGAGCTGAGTTAGGTAGAAGTTAGAATTAGAGAGACCTACTCAAAGTCAAATCGAGCACAGAGATCTAAGCACAGAGGACAGGGGTGTAATAGTACCAAACTTACTAATCCGCGAAGAAAAAAATAGTGAAGAAACTGTCAACGACTGTAGGTTCAATTGAAACTCCATAATACTCATAGTGAAATAGATTCCAGAGATTCCAGACAGAGTTTAATAGTACCAAACTTATGAAATCTGGAGGAAAAAATACGTGAAGAAAAAGTCATCGACTGAAAGGTGACAAGAAGAGGTTAAAACTCTGGAAGATCCATCAAAAGACAATAATACTCAAAGTGAAATCGATCCCAGAGATCCCAGCCAGCGGACAGAGGTGTATGCATCCGCGAAAAGAAAAGAAATGAAAAAACAGTCACCGACTGAAAGCAGACGAGAAAAAGGCAAACATTTTGAAAGCTCAATCAAAACTCAGGAAGAAGAAGATTGAAAGCAGGCCGGAAATAGCCTTCGGATGGTCTAAGCGTGGTTACTCGGCGTGATTCTTACTTCTCAGGACAGTCCACTCCAGGAATTTGCGCTAAGTTTTGACACCATAATAATAAAATTGATTGATGCAACACAGGTTGGATATATAATTCAGGGTTTTATTATTAGAAGCGACCAAAACTTCGAGTATACAAAGAGGAGTGTAGCTATGGATGTAAAACAGGTCGCCAGGTCTGCTAAAGCGAGCAAATCGCAGTGATTTTCTAGTTAGGTAGTCTTAAAGATCTAACTACAATTATTATAACGGTTCCTTGTAGCCTACTGAGGTTTCTCCTTATCGAATTAAACACATTATGCCGGTCTGGCACGCATCAACACACATTACAGCGCTGAGCACTCTCTCTCTCTCTACTCGGCATTTAAAATGCGCTTCGACGCTTCAAATTGTGCTTTGGTACTTGATAAGCTGCGTAATCAAAGAGCCTACAGCAGACAGTACAATTATGTGCGACTTATATAAATATGTCTGTAGATAGGACCAAATATGTGTGTGTGTGTGTGTGGGTGAGCACATGAATGTGTCCATAACCGTTAGGCAGGAAGTGTAAACACTAACCTACCACCACATATTTTGCCATACTCCTATGTGACAACGTCAACAAATGTAACAACTAAAGCGAAAAAAATGTCAAAATAATCATTCGTTAAGTTTTTGCGCTCTAAATAACGCTTGAACGGTTTTCCGAGCGCAAGAGAGAGCGTCTAATCAACAGCTGTATGTCATAGAAGAGCTTATGTGTAAGAAAAGAGAGCGTCAAGGATTGAGTTGTAAATAGAGAGCGAAAGTGTTATTGAACTCACAATCTTCAGAATGCGTGCAGTGAGCTTTTTCGCACAAATAAAGGATGTAAAAGCTTACAAGGCTGCATGCAGCTGTGAGTTAGTGGGTGCTGCTGTGTGGGAAAAGGTTAGAAGTTAAGGCGTATACAAATAAATCGGGTTAAAAGTAATAATATCACCGTAGTAGCAGCAACAAAGGCAATAATAATATTTGTCAGAAAAAAAATATCCTAAGAGCTTTGCGGAACAATACAGAAACACATTGAAAACCATTGAGCCACTGCGTTGTTAGTGGAAGTTTCTCGTTAACTCGGGTAGGAGTACTTATGGCGCTCATTTCAATTCACAATTTACCATTCATAAAAATTTGTTATGCCTGGTAGCTTTCACGTCTCACATTGTTATGGTTATTTTTCACTTAATTTGTATTGGTTTCACTTTAAAATGAATGAATTAGGGGATATAAATGCTTGAGTGCAAAAGTTACAAAAAAAATAATTAATGAATAAAATTAAGCTAACTGTAATCTTTCTGCTTTCGTTAGTACAGATAATCAAAAATTATCACAATTTCAAAAGTTTCCGAAAACTTTCAGCATTATCTTACATACAAAAAGCTTCAAAGCTTTCAATAAACTATAAAAGCGTGCACTATTATTTAACTGTTATCATCTACAAAGCTTCGGAGCTTTCATAAAAGCTATCAAAGCTCTTTTAAAAGCTATCAAAACTTTCATAACTAATAAACCTTTAGCTGAATCTTACATTTTTATTGAATAATATAAAAGCTTTCAACTGAACGTTTAGAAAAAAAAAATAAAAGGTCGATTGCAATCTCCTTAAAGCATTAACTTATATCCACAAAATTGCAAAGCTTTCAAAAACTTATCAAAGCTTTTACAATTTGTAAAATTTTGTAATTAGCTTTTATTCTCAAAATGTCGGAGCTTTAATAAAATTTAGACTTTCAGCTTTATCTTTAATTTTTTAGCAGAACTTTTCTGAAAACTCTAATAGTTTTCATCTGAATTTTTATAAAAAAAACTCTATAAAATCTTTTTTAAACATTTTTTTTAAATTTCAAAGGTTTTACAGATTTTTAGAAACTTGTAAGACTTTTTATATATTATATAAAAAAAAACAAAAATATCTGTGCAAATTTTCTATAAAGGTTATACAAGTTTCCATAGTTAATACATTTTTAGCTTTGACTTTAATTTTTAACCGAATCTTTTTTAACAACTGTAAAAGCTTTAAATTGAAAGTTCATAAAAAGATTATATAAAACTCGCTTAAAATGTTGCTGTAATTCTCAAGCCATTTACAGTATTTTGGAAGCCTTTTAACACTTTTTACATTTACAAACCCGCCAAGCTTCAAACAAATCTTCAAACCATCAAATCTAAACAAATTATTGCTAAAAGCTTCCGAAAACATTCTTGTGAGCTTTTACGTTTTTAGTGATATTAGAAAAGTTTTCAGAATATTTTACTTTTTATTTAAAAAAAATCTGTATTTACGTAAATAACTCCTATCTTCTATGTAGCTTTTGAAGCCTGCTTTTAATATAAATTATAATCAAATAATAGCTACACATTCGTAAATCTTCGTGAAGACTTC